TTTCCCCTCTTCTCTTACAGATTTTCCCTCACTTATCAGAGCATACCAGAGCAGCCCAGACCACGCCCACATTAGTATGCCGCAGGAAGAGAAGCAAAGCTTGAGTCCGAGCACAACGACAAGTTGGACAGACAGCGAAGACTCGCGCACAGCATCCACCGCCTCGCTGGTGCAGCAGCAGCTGAAGAGCACGCCACTGAGATCAGGCTCTCGTGTGGGTCCGGGTCTGCTGCTCTTTCCGGGCACAGCGCAGCGAGCCGACCAACGGCGGGCAGCCAAAGAACGCCAGCTGGAAAAGCCAGCAGCGCAGGCTAGTGAGGGGCATGATGCATCGCTCAATCGCCGCAAGCCGTACAGCATACGCAGCTTTCGCCGACCGCCGCTCTGGCAGCCGCCGGCCATCAAAGCGGAGGCGGAGGCGACGCTCAAAGAGGAGCAGCAGGAGCAGCAGGTGGCTCCACTGCCCTATCTAGCCAAGCTGCAGGCCTTCATCATAGAATTTCTGCAGGGATCCTCGATACATGGCTTCATCTATTTGGCCAAGTTCGGTTTGAATTTCCTGGAACGGTGAGTTTATGTAGAGTCCAGCTGTGTTTCGATTGTCTTGCTCTAGCTGTGATTCAGTGCCTCATCGGGGTCTCCTGCTGCGTGTGACGCAGTGAAGCTATAGACGAGAGGCTCTGCTGGCTTTGTAGTGGAGGCAATGGAACTGAAAGGGCGCTTCAATTTCATTAAATTCAATTCATGTTTGAATCTTCCATTTAGAGTAGTGAAATTCATCTGGGCTTAGGTTATAATTAAGTTAGTTATAATAGTTATATAATAGTTATTATGGCTGCACGTAACAACTACATTGAGCTTTGCTCAACTCATAATATCTTCTATAGTCAGAGTTTAGGAAGTATGGAAAGTATCCTACTATCGATATTGGTCGGTAGTGCCATTATAGGGATACTAAATATTAAAATATTAAATATGAAATCTATATTCATTTAAAGAAAAGAAAATAAGATAAATAAAAATATAAGAAGTCCAAATTATACTTAAAAAAACAATAAAAGAATAATAGAAATAAATAATCAAAAGAAATATAGGGATATTAAATATTAGAAAATATTTATATTCATTCAAACAAGAGAAAATAAAATGGATAAAAATATAGGAAATCCAAATTATACTTTAAGAAATAAAAGAGTAATAGAAAAAAAGACAATCAAAAGAAATAAATAATAACAAATAATAAAGAATTAATTAAATTAAGTAATTAAATTAACTAATAATAATAATAAAGAATTTTATTTATAAATAATAATATAGAAATAAACAACAACAAAATAGAAATTAAAATATATAAAAAAAAATTAAATTGAAATAATTAAACTGTACATTCTAAAAGAAAAAGAAAGGTACTAACATGAAAAATAAAAAAGCAGTGAAAACTATATTTAAAGGCCGCCAGCCTCTAGTAATAGAATAATAGAAATAAATTATCAAATGAAATACAAAATAATAATAATAATTAATAACAAAGAATTAATTAAATGAAATAATTTAATCAATAAACAATAATAATAAAGAATTTTATTTATAAAAAATAATAAATAAATAAACAAACAAAAATATAAATATAAAGAAATAAAAGAGTAATAGAAAAAAAACAATAGTAAATAAAAAATAATAATAATTATTAATAAAGAATTTTATTTATAAACAAGTAAGAAAGCTCTAGTCGAGACTGCTCGACTACGAGATCCCC